GAAAGAGAGTGACTGGCCCAAGATCACCCTGGGGTAGTTTACAGATGTGAGCAACAAGCACAAGAATTGCTTGCTTTCAGGCCTTGCTCGTGCGATCAGCAGAAGTGTGACGACGACGACAATTAATTCTGCACAAATGTTCAGCCTGCAAGATTTCTTGCAGCAAGAAACTATTTAGAATAATGTTTAAAAACACTGAGTCAACAGCATAAATCATAAATGTAGGACAATCAAGCAGAAGTCCAGAGCACTTTAGGGACTATCTAAATTTATCCCAGTGTAAACTTGTGGGAGTCAGACTTAAACTGGAATGGTTTTTTTGGTTAATTTCTAAAGGGCCACTGGGCTTCCAATCAATTCTGCTGCACCAGACCACCATGGCTAACCCTCTGGAATAACAAATGTGAGCAGAATCAGAGAAAAGGCCTTCTGGCTGCTTTTTATTAGAAATGAACTGCTGGCCCTTGGTGTGGTCCAGCGTGGCTCCTTTCCAGTTCTTTTATTCCAAATTACGTTTAACTACGAGTATATTCTAGCCAACTAGGATGCACAATGCAACTTGTAAAACAGAAAACAATTCACTCTTGAGAAATACCAATTTGCTTTGCTTTTTATCTTCTCCCACTCTCTGGGCACCTGCTGCCACACCATCTCTGGCTTTGCCATCCCAATGAAACTCGAATTGCTATGTATTTGCTTTGACCACTTCTTGCAAGATTATATAGCAAAGCCAAGACTGCACCATTGTTGGCCATTGATTTATCTGTAAAACAGTAACAGTAAAAATGATGAAAGGGACTCTTTGCTAGCTAGCCTTGTGAAGGAGTTTATTATTTAAGCATTAATGACCCGCTTAGAGGTCCTTACGGACCAGGTAATGACCAGTGAAGGAAGTTAAGGGCCTGCAGCAAAACACCATTGTAAAGTCATGCATACTGGATAGGCCTGGCTTCTCATGATTCTATTAGGAAGCTGAGTGCAAAAGTGGAATGAAATACACTTCTAAGAGGCTTCTGGCCTCAGCCCCTGTACTTTATGCTTGGCACAATGCATATGGCCTGATTCCAGCCACACAAATCATCCCTTGTTTACACTAACACCTACAGCAGTGTAGGAAAGGAGTTACCACTGTGGAAAAAATAGCTAGCCCCAATACTGGAAACTAAAATAAGCTTTGTACCAGCAGGAATATTTATTTATTATTTAAAACACTTCTAGGCCACTTTTCCACCCAAATAGAGTCCCCAAAGTGGTGAACATCAAAACATTTCAACAATAAAACAACATTTAAAGTATAGTACATACA